GAATAGACATTCTTAATTTTAAGGTAGACACATTGTTTTGTTTTGAAGTTTGTTGCTTTTTGATTTATTTGAAATTAGTTAAGATATTTTCGTTTTCTTATGTTAGCTCATTTCTTTTCCTTTCACGTTGAGTCCACAGAGTTTGGCTTGCTCCAGCTAGGACACCCTGGGCAGTGCCCTGGCTGGCCACTGTTCTGAGCGGTCCAGCACTGGTTCTCACTTGTTAATGCCAGGCTCTGCTGGTTGGAAAAGATTAAACATCACCTTTAAACTATTTGATATGTACCTTTGTGTGTGAGACCAAGTTTTATTTTTTATCATAGAATGAGCCATTTTTCTCAGTTTTGTCTACTAAAAAAAAGCCATTAATCTTTCACTGATATGTGGTATTTTTTCAAAAGTATGTCAACTCCTTAAAAATGTTTTTGTTGGACTGCGGCATTCCTTTGAATTTTATAGCATGTAAATAATCCATGTATAGTCTAGCTCTCCATCTTTTTTTGCAGAATTTTTGTATCCATTAGTAAGTTTGAGCACATAAAGATTATGTATTCAATCTCAACAGAATAAATGGGAGTAAACTTGTATATACTTAAGGATTTCCATCTTTCTGGTCCTCATGTGACCTCTCCACTAAGATACTTGTGACAGAATCCATTATTATTCCCTCACATCCATTCTTCTCCCTTCCAAAGTAACAGAACTCATGGCTTTTAGTGAAGTACAGAGAACCTCAATAAAGAGTCATCAGCTCTCTGGGTCTGTGAAAATGCATCTTGTAGATTCAACCAACAGTGGGTGCAAATATTAGGGGAAATAAATTCTCTCTGTGCTAAACAGGTACAGATTTTTTTGTCATTATTCCCTGAGCGATGCAGTATTCAGTACTGTATGTCGTCAAGCTAGATGTGACCAAGGGCCAATTCAGGCCTGCCGGGTGGAAGTGGAAGAGGAGTGCTGCTACTTCCAGGAAGTGGCTCTAGCAGGCAGCGCGTGTCCGTGCCCTTCCCCTTTGCTTACTTCCTGCCTGCTGCCTAGGAGTAGAGCAGTTCTATGGACAGGAGGGGACCTTCACAATGGGAGCCACATGGGAGGACAATGAGGAAGGGACCTGGGGCTCACCCTCCACGTAGGCACCTTCCAGCCCCACAGCATTGACCTGGGGTAGTTACCTTACAGTAGTCCCCCCTTATCTTCAGGGTATATGTTCCAAGACAATCCCCCATCAATGTGTACCTAATGCTGTACACACTGTTTTTCCCTATAAGTACATAGCTATGATTTATCAGTTAGATTTTAGTTTACAAGTTAGGCACAATAAGAGGTCAACAACTAATAACCAAATAGAGCAGTTACAACAGTATACCGCAATAAAGGTTATATGAATGTGGTCTCAAAAATTCTTACTGGCTAGGCGCAGTGGCACACATCTGTAATCCCAGCAACTCAGAAGGTTGAGGCAGGAGGATAGCAAGTTTGAGGCCAGCTGCAGCAACTTACTGAGACCCTGTCTCAAAATAAAAAGGGCTGGGGGGCTGGGGATTAGTTCAGTTGGTAGAGTGCTTGCCTTGAATGCGCAAGGCCCTGGGTTCAATCCCCAACACCACACACACACACACAAAAAAAAACGGGATGGGGATGTGACTCAGTGGTACAGTACCCCTGGGTTCAATCCCCAGTACCCATAATAAAAATAATTCTTACTGAACTGAGCCGTGTTTTGGACTGCAGTTGAATACAAATTACTGAAACTACAGAATGTGAAACCAAGGATAAGGAAGAACTTGCACATTGTTCCTGCACATGTGAACCCAAGGCCTGCTTCAGAGAAGCCCTCAACCTCCCTGACCAGCTCCAGTACCCTTTACCAGGTTTATGACATCCACATGCTG